GGATTGAAGCAGAGAAAGACAGTCAGGGGACCAGGCTGGTTTCTGTGGGGAGGTGCCGCCCTCTAGTGGACAGACACCCTAACTACAGCCCGTCTCTTTCTTTCTTTGTAGGACAGCGACATTTACCGATTACTGTGGCCTGGTATTACCGTTAGTCACCCGGTTTCAGCTTCTTAAAACGTCGGTACAATGAGTTTCACTCCACTGGGTAAACACTACACACTTGACACTGGCATTTATCACAGATAAATGTTCACTGGCATTTATCACAGATAAATGCCAGTGAACAGCCAAGAAACCCATTGAACCTGCTACGCCCAGGTGAGGGAGAGCAATGAGGGTCATGTGGAACTCATTTTCTGTTTATGAAAAGTTAGACTTTCACCCAACTAGCTCCATATCCCCAGGCTCCACCACACCTTTAACAAGTCTCCAGTCTAACCGCTGATATGTTCACAACATATGATGCAGTTGTCATTTAAGCTGTAGTCACTATAACAGAATATTAAAACACCTCTTTCCTATTAATGCATGCTTAGTAGGTGTAAGAAAAGAACCGTTCACAATAAACACCACTAAGACATTTTACTGCTACCATTTCTCTTTCAAAAGGAGATTCGTTCCATTGTTGGTTATGAAGTGAAATAAAACAAGAGCAATTTTTTTAATTATACACTCAAATCTGTAAAATGTTGTGCTGATATCTTGAAACCTGTCAAGTGTCATAACATCAACTGTGAGATGAGGGGAAATTAAGGAATGTGAAGGCACCACAACCAAGTCAGCGAGTGTGTCCTTAATTAAAAAGATATTTAGTAGTTTGTGCAGCACTGCTAACCAGTGTCAACACTGTGCTGCCAAATATGTAGCTGTAAATAGGAGCAGGTGAGGAGACCCTGACTTTCAAAGCTTTCATTTAAATCAATGTTCAAAGGGACAAACATGTTAAATTACACAATATCTTATCTCAGGACCCCTCCAATTTAACTTGTGACCCTTTGGAGGGGCCGTGAGATACTGTCCGACTTATTAGCTACACTACATTTTGTTTAGGCGAGTAAAAACATACGTGGCATCACCACTGTGGATTTCTGCTCTGATTTTAAAAACTGTTACAAGCTAAAGTTTAGTGAGAGTAACAGAGAGAAAACATGGAGTGGATCATTTTGTTACAGACTGTAGTCTGTATTTCTTCATCGGTCTTTCCCTGTTGATAAGGCTGTTCAGTCACCACTGTTCACCTGTAGAGTTACACTGCCAGCGATGAGCTTTTGCACCACTGAATTTCATTTAACTGCAAGGCACACACACCAGAAACACCACGTTTCTGTGGAGTAGCTGTATTTTAATCTGCTAACACTGCTAATAGCAGAGAAAAGAGTTTTTGTATTTCAGTTTTTTCTGAAGCCTTTAGTAGGATAGCAGTTAGACATTAATGCAGATTATTTTCTTAGTCAATTAACTGTTTAGAGACTGTATAATGTCAAGGTGTAAGAAAATGTATTAAAATACAGTAGTCCAAACCCCAAACAAACATGAGATCATCATGAGCACTCAGAGCTGAATGGTTATGGTGTGGCGCGTCAGATACGCAGGCACAGTGTGTGTGTGACATCATCGGTTCGAGTCCGGCCACTGACCTTTGTCTCCTCTATTTCCTGTCTGCTTCTCTGCAATACACTGTAACAAATAAAAGTGCCCAAGAACAACAACAAAAAAAAACTAACCAGAAATAGATAAGTGTCACTTAATTTTATGTCCATCAATTAATCCCTGCAGCTGAAGTATTTAGTATCCTTTTGTTGTGTCATGCTCCAAAATAGTATAGGTTCAAAAGGCATAAATTTTAAGTTGTATTCAGTGTTTGATCTTATACTTGTGCTGCGTCACTCAATCTGAAAGAGAAAAGATGACGCAGTAGATGCCTTTAGTGTGCAACAACAGCAAAACAGTGAATAACACAAAACTGGATTATTCATTGCAACACTGAAAATGCTAAATGTCACAGAGGTCACCATTGGCGCTCCACTATGGTACATGATCAGAATGCTGCGCACAGCGGTTTCAGGTTGACGGTGTGCTCATTTTAAAATTTTTATTTGAAGCCTGTTACCTCGGTATTTCAGGAGCAGGAGGACATTAGTCATCTTCACCTAGAAGTTAACGCTAATTATAGAGAAAGAGTTTCTGAAAACGTCTGTCGTGTGCAACTTCTCTTACAACCCCTGAGTAATGAGCAGAGTGATGTTTGTGCCATTCTTAGTCATTTACTGTATCTCGAGTATAAATCATGAGTAAAGGTGCAACAGAACACACACACCAACGCACACCCACAAACTCGTGACCTACTACTGTTTTCACCTTGACAGGATACTCACTTTTGACATTTATTTATCTCGAACTTGACACCTGACTCATTAGAGCACACACACACGCTCTTATCCAGAGTATAATGAAACATTTGGTGTCATTTCAGGACGCCCAAATCACCAGATCTTCACCGGGCCTACAGAAATGAGCACACACACAGATTCATTCAAGGTTACCAGACCTTTTCTGCCACCTGACCATTTATAAGATCCCTGCACTTACATTTTCTTTTGTAAGTCATTACATATTGTAGGAAGACATCACAACATTAAGAGTTCTACTCCACATGACATGCAGCACTTTGACCCCATCCCTGAAAAACTTCACCTAACTGACCCATGAATTTGTACAATGAGAAGGTAATTTAAGGACAATGTCATGGTTTCACATTCACACAAACCAAAACCAGTTTGATTCAATCCAGTACTAGGGCTTACGCAAACACACACACACACACACTCACACACGTGTTAAAAAAAAAAAAAAAAAAAAAAAAAAAACTTATTTTGGCCCTCTTTTCTTTCCATTTGAATGCAGCTCGTTTTTTTTTTTTTTTTTTTTTTTTCTGACCTTCAGAATTTGCGGTAAAACACTCAGGATAAAAATACAAATGGCTTGGCTCATTTAAAGTGAGGCCAAGTTAAAACTGCTCTGATTTTACATCATTTCTGCCTTTTCCGACCCATAACGCTGGTAGTTTTTAACACTGCACCACTGTAGCAGAGAACAGACACAGGAAGAATAAATGACAAAACATTTGGCCTTTTGCATTTAATGCGACGGATTAGCTGGATGTTCATTTAAGGCATGGGCTGTAAAAGTCAACATCAGGGAATTAAACCTGATCATACAAGATGCAGAATGTAATTTAACAAGAATTTGCTCAAATTTATTTGAAAAATTATTTAAAAATTGCACAGGCTAAAAGTTTTACCTCTAAAAACACCACAAGGTCCATTTAGTAGCTGTTCTAGAGGATTAAACGTGTTTACTGTATTCTTCTATTCCTTAACAGCTATTTAATGGATGCTGTAGTGAAACAGCTTTGTCAACTTCAGTTTCCAAGGTCAAGAATCAAGTTTTAAGCAAACATGGATGAAAAGTCCACAAAGTGTATGGAAAAAAAGTGAATTCTGAACATGTAACATCTGGACAGACTCCATCTGTAGCAAAGCCACCAAACAGCTGCAAACAGCTATATCACTCTAAATTAGGACATTCACTTGAGACTAAGAAATCTGTGAGTGTGCAATCATTTGAGAATACTTTTACATTTTTACATGATATTACCTCAAATGTCACAGACTGAAAGAATGAGGATGTGTGACAAAAGTATTTTTCTGCTCTCTCGTTTCTGCTTTAATTCTCTGGATGACAGATTTTTCTCATTTCTTCTGTAGCTCCTCTTAT